TTTCTTTGTTCTAAGCTTAAACGCCTTGCAAATTTTACACCTTTCTGTTTGGTGTGCTTCCCCCAGGCAACGTAGACAGGAGTCGTGGGGGTCACTAACCAGCATAGGCTTGCGGCACATGGTGCAAGCCTTAAACCCGTGGGCCTGTGGCATGCCCCGCGGCCCAGGGCGGGTGCTGGAAGCTTCCAAGCACCTAATCTATCAAGTGTCCACAACAATAGAATGCTAACAAACTGATAGCAGCTAAGTACTCTAAAGCTAAGGGCTTAGAGTACTTAGCATTCGCGATGGAGCACACCAAAGAAAGCAATGGACCTGGAGGGTGGAGAGACATAAATATAGGGAAAGTTCTTCTTGGAGACTCTGTAGGAGTCTTTGGAGGGCAGTATAAATGGATCAGGAGAGAGGCTAATAATCTTCTCTGCTCTTATTTTTTTTTAGGTGAAGATGACACATACCTCAGAACCAGCAAAGCCTGTCTCTTCCCGAAGACCCTCTGTTTCTCATTTGGATCAGAGGAATGCTCAGGAAGCAAACAGTGTATATCAGTTACCAAAGTAAAAGTCCTCTTCAGATCCAAAGATGGACCCGGAACTAAAGGAGAGGTCGAAGTCAGAGCCAATGACCTGCACAGCACAGGATCCAGTGAACATTTAGATCTACCCTCCTGGTCTTTAAGTGGAAACTGGAACTGGCCTGGGTTCAGAGACAGAGATGTAGAAGACCTGTCAAAATTGGATGGATACAACAAATATTACCTGCAGAATCTGGGCTTGCTAACTGGCCATCTTCTTCGGAACTGACAATGTGGCTCTCAGTTCCATAGCAATTGGTCTGCATTTATCAACCCCTGCATTTATTTAAAGCCCTAACTACCTTAGTAGCAGACTCTGGAATCTGATGAAGGTTCCAATTTCCTGGAACCTTTAAGCTGCTGGTGCAAGTCACAGGAGCAGAGATTGGCCTCTTAGACCTTGGATCCAATGAGCACCCAGAACCGATGGGTTTAGACTCAACGGCCTCCTTAAAGAGAAATGTCTGCAATCTGTTTGGCCTCTCCTTGCAAGCTCTGGGCATGATATTCCAGCAGATGGAACACTCATAAGGAGAATGGCCCTCTCCCAAGCTGGAGGCATCTAACATGGTTGTCTGACTCCAGGAAGACAGCCGGGCACAAAGCATATCTCTTGAATCCCAGTCTCTTCTTCATTTCCACGATAACCTGGAACTACCCTATCCTAACGGTAACTAGAATGAAGACAACCCTAGTTCTGAATGGACCAGAGCGGTTCCCAGGTATCTGGCGCAGTGGGTGGATGGAACTGAGGTGGTAGAGGGAAGTGTGTCCCCTTATGTAGCCTCACCCTCAGAACATTTAGAGATGCTGAGGGAAAGGGTAGGAGGGTATGCATAAATGGTCTAATGGACACTGCCCGGTGAAGATTCTACAGTTATGCTACTGTGCTTCTGTGTGGTGCCTAAGGTAACGGGGGAGCCACTCAAAGAACCACCTGTCCTGTCAACCTAGGTCATCAACACGGTTCAGCCCTGTAGACCCACAGCAGAACTCTATCATTTAACCTAATCCAGTGGTTCTCAAACTATGGGGCAGGCCTCCCAAGAGAGGCATGGGAATGTGTCAAGGGAGGTGTGAGCTGTCAGTCTTGGGTGGCTGGGGCTCATGCAGAAGAGCTATGCACACCCAGGTGGTGAGGATAAAGGGGACAGTTGGAAACACGCCACCCAGGTTTGGGTTCCCCTTCCCCTCCTCCGTCCTCCCCTCAATGGGAGGCAGCCTGGCCTCAGACTTCCTTCCCATCCTTCACTTGGATGTTGCCTTCAGAGCTGAGCACCCTGCCAGCAGCCACTGCTCTATGCTCTGCCTTCAGAGCTGGGTAGTGGTATATGTACTTGTTTGGGGGCGGGGGGCATAAACAACTTACAGACACAAAGAAGGGGGAACCCAATCAAATAATTTTAAGCACCACTGACCTAACCGATTAGCAATAGTAGGTTGTTATCCACTATGTAGACTAGTCACTAGAGGAGAAAGTGGCATCCTGTTTGGCAATGGGTTTCATAGATATTTGCTGACAGTAGAGGAATGTAGACTCAGGCCTCCTGGATGTAATTCCAGAGTCTGTAGGCAGTGTTTATAGAGCCTTCGGGCTTTGTGGCCCCAGCCTGTTTCTTGCTACCCTCTAGTCAGATCCTTGCTATCCAGCCACTCTGTATATGAAAATATCTAGGACGAATTTGCTCAATGAAAAGTGCAACAACTGATTCTTACGAACAAACTATAATCACTGATTTGATGACACTGGGTTGTGGGGGCGGGGGGCTGGGAGCTACAGGGTATGTGCCACACATGCCATTTTATACAAGTGGGGAAAAGGGCTGGTTAGGGAGGTACCACCTCTTTACTCACTTTCATTCCTATATTTGAGCTTCCATACTTCTGGCCCGCTAGAACAGCAGCCTTCAACCTCAGGATTCAAAATGGGATTGACATTTGGGCGAGTCTTTTCTCATCACAGATTACCTGGATTAAACCACTGCAAACCATCCTACAAGCTCACTCGTAAGAGTTCTTGACACACAATTAATTGAGAGTATTTAATTTCTATTATGTTCCCATGAAATTGGCAGGCCTGTGAGTGGACCACTGTTCCAGAGGTCTAAAGTGATGCATAATATCAAGAAGTAAGAAGTTGAACTACATAATACTCTCTATAAAAAAGTATCAACACAACACTATTTTGCAAGAATTCCATTTTGAGAATTTAGGGCTTTAAAAAGTTCGTCCCCCCCCCCCCAAATGTACGGATATATAGCAAATTTGCAGATTGGTGTGGGATTGCTCTATCCGCTGTGCTTAATTTTCAGAATCTAGTGCTGTCTTCTTTTAAAAAAGTCTTGCTCTTCCAGCTGTAAAGCACATCAACTATTATCAATAATATATTATCTTCTGCGACAGTGTGCCTTTATACACTTTTACCCAGCTTCCTCTTTGACACTTTATGAAAGTGAGCCTATCTATCCGTGATTAACGCAGCAATAGTACAAAATGTGCTTTCAGCTTTTATGCAGCATGTTGATCAAGGTTAACAACAATTTCTCAGGTTAGTATTGCCTCCCAAGAACCCCATTGTATGGTCATGTGCAATGTTCCAAGTAGGTGGCAGCAAGGGGTGCATGTGAGCTTTGCTCAAACTCTACTTTGTACGACTGAAGCTGGTCCCTGCGTTCAACTCTCTAGAAGCCCTTTTTGTAGCGGAGGTTCACCACACAGACAACAGTGTTGACTCTTTGGAGGCAATATATTTGGAGTACAAGAGTTACTGCTAGTTAAGAACTACTTTTTCTCTATCACATTGCCTTCACAGCATCCCATTGTGGGATTTGCAGTTACTTACTACCCAAATGGACAGCCTGCTATGTGAATGTGGAGAATACATCAGAACCCTGCCATATCTAGTGAACTGCTGCCTTCTAAGATCCTCTCCAATGGGACAACCTTGATTCATTCCATGGCATGGGAAGCCACAGAGTGGATGGTAAACCTGGATGTCAACGTTTAATGTTGCTTTTCAAATGAAATATGATGAGGATGACCCCACTATAGGAGACTGACTAGCAGTAAATTCCATAAGGATGTAGACTGAGGAGCCCTGCTCTGCCAATCCAACATCTCTATGAAGTGTTGAGAAAATAGTCATTTGTAAAGGTATAAACAACTCTGTATAACAGTCACAGATTTCATATTTGAGATAAAATCTATTGAAACTACCCACCTAGTTAAATGAACTCTAAAAATTCACATATAGGAATGTGAACTGGTTTATTACATTACTGGCTGCACAGTCTTTGTTTCTTTGAGCTGAGATGACCTGATCCCTAAATTTTTCTCCAAAGGTCACAAATAGTTTGTTTGGCTTTTTAAATAGCATGAGTCTATGGGCTTGTCTATATGTGAAAGTTGTTTTGGATTAAGCTAGGGTGTGAATTTAAAGTGCAATCACTATTCCTGGATAACTCCATGTGTAGGCAATCTACATGTAGCAGCTAATAAGCTTTCAACAGTCAAGACATGTAACCTCACTACTCAAGGATGAGGATAGGACTTTGGAGGAAACACAGGCCATGGCAGAGTGAAAGTACCAAATTTTAATCTGAATTTGGAGGTGAAGTACCACTTTTATCTTTGTGGAAGACAGTATAATGTAGGTAGAGTCATCATATCCAGGAAGTTGCAGACTCAGGTAAGGCCCTCAAGAATGAGACCCTCCAAGAGAGGTGGCAGGTGGAGCAAAGGATCTTTCCATGTGTTTAGTTAACACTACCAACCACAAGATGTTTTCTAGACAAGTAACATACATAAAGTGTCAACTGTGACATGGCCCAAAATTTGAGATAACTGAGGATAAATTAGGATGCAACTCTTCTAAGAATGGGTCCATTTACAAATAGTTCCAGAGAAGATTGGCAAATCAGATCTTAAATGAAGCAGGTTTGGATTGTTTTCTTTAACAAACATAAAAATAAAGAAATTCCATGCAAAAGCCTAGCATCAAAGAAACTTTAAATAAGAAATTCACAAATGTAAAGTTGAAAGCTTGCCCTTTCTACTTATGCCTTAAAATATAAATTTAATAGTGACCAAATATGAAATGCTTTTCTTGTAGCCTGACATATGATAAGTTACAGAATGTATATATAGGATGAAATCCTGGCACTGGTGAAGTCAATGGCAAAACAAAATGTCTCTGTACTTGATTTACTGTACAGATCTCACTAGGAGTTATGCTCAGTTGGAGTGTCTCTGCTGAGACCAATGCCTTTAAAATTTGACCATAGGTAATTTATACTGTGATTATGGCACAGACACCAGCCTGGTGACCTGCTACAATGGATCACATAAGCAAAAATGCATTTCCTTTTTTACAGTAAAAAGATTGTATATTAGTGTCAAAGTGTATTTTGCAAGCAAAATTAAAGAGAGGAAAGGAAACATTAAGAAACTGGTTGCTGTAAATAAAAACTTTAGTATAATTTGATATCTGATTATTACAGTAGCAACAAGTACTAAAATCCAGCCAGTCATGGAATAGTAATAGAACTGGAAGGACAGAATATCCTCCAATTTCTATAAGAATCTCTCTCACACATCTGTGAAGTGTACCACTATGAACATTATTAAAATTTATTAACAAAAGCTCTGTACATATCTTTTCATACTCTTGGAATTTTACATCTAAGCAAAATAACAGCCCATTTTAATTTTATCATTTGTACAAATTGTTACAGAATATTAACCAGTGGGTTAAATAAGTAAAATAAACCACACTGATTTACTTTTGTAAAGTATCCACAAAAGTGATTTGTGACAATTTTTTAAAATCCCCCTGAACATATAAAAATAAATTATTTGATTAAATCTACTAATTAGAAATATTACAAATCAAAATATCAATGTTTTCTTATGAATTCCTCACAATACAAAACAGATTCACAAAAACCTTATTTACAGAAATGAGGTAAGAACTGTGCAATGTTTAACCAAGAGACATATTGCAGAATTAACATGTTCTTCCAATTAAGTACACAGTGGAGGTCTAATTACAGCTGGGTCATTTTCCACTAATAATTTACACTTCTAAATACAGATTAGTGGTCATTACCCCAATTTTTATCTACACTCTACCACACTGCCATAAAATCATCTATCCTAAGTGAAAATGTTCTAACAATAAGTTCACCCGTTTCAACCACTGGTATATTTCATTGGGAAATGTTTAAATATCTACTCACTTTTTTTATAATTTATTAGTGAAAAGTGACCCAGGTAACAATTTGCCTGAGCTATCTACAGTGGCATAAACACTTCTAATAAAGGCAGAACAATGGGGAAGGCTGCTGGTGCAATGTTGAATATTTCTGCTGCTTACAAGGACTTGTCTAGTGCACGCTCAGCTGTCTGCAGCCATTTCAACACAATGGAGGTAGCAACAGGCACTTAGTTTAGGCCAAACACTACCAGTACTTTCCAAAATGGCCTTCTCATCTGGTTAAAAAAAAAAAAAAAAAATCTATTTAAACTGATCTGGTTTGTCCAGCAACCTTAGAACTCCCAAAACCCAAACGAACGTTAATAACCTTTGGACTCTACCCTGAAAATCTTATTCTGGCAAAATTCACTCTAGAGTCAGTAGAAATTTGATGGAGTGACAAGTTCAGAATTGGATTCTTTATATCATGAGTCAGATTCCAAAATGTTTTAAAAAGCCACACACACACCTAACAGGAAATACACACTGCCAATTACAACCTGGGTCTGAAAGCATTTGCAATTGCAGCAGAGATAAGGTTGGTTTGTTTGCTAAGACTCCTGTTCTGAAATCAAGTAATGTGTGACTGGAATAAGTATTTTCAATTTACTAGCCCTCCAGCTTTATAATAAGAACTACTACTTGAGCAGCAAGTAGAATATTTTCCAGGGTTGAATGTGTAGTTGTACTTAGTATTGTCATACTGACAAAATAATTATGGTTTGCAGAATTTAATTTCTTGCAGTGTCTGTTAAATCTGAAAAAGTAGTTCCATTTCAGTGCAACAAGAAAATAGATCAAAGCCTTAGAAGAATGTCCTTATGAAGATTAATTCTTTGCTGTGCAGTTAGGTCCTTGTTGCATTTCTTCATACCTGCAGAAATGAAGATCCACAGTTCGCAGCTAGATGAAGTGCTATAACAGCAGGATATGCAGTTCTCAAATATTATTCAAATGTCAACTTTTTTCAGGTGCAACCGATCCAGTTTTATCATTAAGCCTCTGTGGTAAAAAAACAAAACAAAACACTTGTACAATCGGACAGTATTTTAGATTTGCTAAATTCTACAACTTCTACATATAAATGAAAAGGCATGGCTGGAATACAGTCTGGACACAAAAGTAGATAAGATTAGATAGTTATGCTAAAGAATCAAATGTAGAAGTTTTGTCATGATTTTAGCAAAATGTTTGGATTTTAAATAAAAATATTCATACGCCATGGAAACAAAACTTTGGAAAGAAGAAAGTAATTACAGCAAAGGTATTTTAGACCTCCAAAATTACCACCAGGAAACAGATCCAAACTACTGATCTCTCCTTGGGGCCATCTAACCCTGCTTTGTATTTCCTGCTGCTTTTGATCTGCCAGGCTTCATGGAGAGAGGGGGAAGGGGATTTTCACGATGTCAAAACAATTCCATCTAAGGACCCAAAAAACTCTCACCACGGAAATACCCGTTCCCAGTCACTATTCCTGAAGCCACACAACATACACTTTCTACCCCCTGTCAACTGACTTAAGTACTTACTTTTTACTCATTTAAGGCATTACCTGGAAAATACCAAGTGAAACACTGACAACTGTGATTGGTGATTTGACTGTGTCGGTTTCATAATGAAAAAAGTAAGACAATAAAGCTTTGAATATGTCAATTAAACAAAGACAGATGAAAGAAGTTCACTAGAGAGTTTCTTGCATGTATCCCATAAGCATCTAGTACTGACCACTCTTAGAGAGAGGATACTGGGCTAGGTGGACCATTGGTCTTATCCAGTATAGCAATTACTATAGTAAGTGGCTTAGAGTCTAAGGAAGCCTAAATGCATGCAAGTCCTTGAATGGACAGAAGATATAGGTTACACCAACTTAAATATCTGGTTTCCCTTAAGACTTGCCTCTGAATTTGGCACAATATTTCTTTAATTATATCACTGAAAATGCCATTATAGGTGAAAATACACTTACTGTCACTTTTTGACTTGCATTATCCCCATGAATTGTAAGAAATGGGTTGGTAGTAGTTGTATGAAGGGGTGATGCTTGAGTGCCTGAAAGCAGGTTATTTATGGGTATCTGTGCTGCTCCTGGGATCTGCAATTGCTGCACTTCAGGCTGGTGGTGCTGGTGTTGATGGTGCTGTTGCTGCACTAGCTGATACAGAAGGGCCTGATGTTGTTCCTTAGTTAATATAAGGAAAGAACATTCTAATCAACAATCATTCAACAAATGGTCACTCCTTTCTAGGTCCTTTCTTACCCTAGTGTTTTTTGCAATGTAACCACAATTTACCACACTCCAGTTAACGTGGGTTGCCATGATGAAGCTCCACAGGAACGTGGAGGATGGAAGAGAGCCTCTTAAAGCTTTCTTAACGTCAGCAGCTCAACAGACATTCAGCTGAGCCAGCTGGCTTGGGCAAGCCTCTATCACAGGACCCTAGATTTGATATCCTTTTCTTACAAAAAAGGGTCTCAAATATGTTTGGCACAGTATTAAACTCATGCTGTTTCCAATACAAACTAAAATATTTCCAAGCAGCTGCCAAGTGGCATATATATTCTTCAGCGCAAACCATTATTTACAATGAACATATTCGCCATGCTATAAAAAGGTGCAGACAATTGAACAATAAACTATTTTTGAAAATTAAATTTTTTAAACAGACATATGCTCAACGAGTTAATCCGCACAGGTCTAATATTTGTATTAACCTGAGGAGTTTGTCTATACTTCAGAAAGCAGTGGTCCTGGCTCAGGTTTACAGAGAACATAGCTAGTTCTATTATAAACATAGGACATACTGATGTGAGTTGTTGAGTACTCAGTAATTGCTGAAATTGCTGGTGCTGTTGATGGAGCAGAAGTTGTCTCTGTTGGTCAGGAAGTAATCCTAGTCCCGAGGCACTGCAAAGCAATGACCAAGCTCTTAGTTTCTGCAATGTAACACTGCAGCTTATTTGACTAATGGAGGTCTGGGTCATCATTTTTACTTCAGCCTTTCAACAAAATTACAAACCCAAACCATGTACAGACTTTTTGATAAGTAACACTCACTTGCTATATAGCATTTGATTAAATATTGCTAGATATCCCACTGAATACCAATAGCAAATGAGTAGTTATTTCTTGCATAAGTTGGACAGCAAAATAAACAACATACACACAGTTATAATATGCACACAGCTCACCTACATTTTGCTAACATATGCCTGGATACTCCAATCTCACCCACAAACACAAATTTAACTATCATCTTTATGCTGATGACTTAGAGATCTGTCTGTCTACAGACCTGTCCAAACTGAAATCTCAACCTGTCTCTCTAACAACTCCTTGTGAATGTCTAGCCATCAGCTCAAGCTCAACATGGCTAAAACAGAACTCTCAATCCTTCCCCCTTAACTTTGCCCAATACCTTCTTTCCAAGCATTATGGACACCACCACCATCATACCTGTCACCAGGCCGATAACCTGGGTTTTATCTTTAGCTTGGACATCTCTCTAGACCCTCACATCCAGAGTATGTCTAAATATTGCAGATTCTTTCTATATCATGTTTCTAAGACTTGGCCTTTCCTATCCATCCACACAGCTAAAACTCTTGTCCAGGCTCTCATGATCTCACATCTCAATTACTACAACATATTTTTCTGTGGCTTTGACAAATGCAATCTTGGCCACATATCCATTCAGAACTGTGCTACAAACTTTATTTTCTTAGCCTCTCATTTTGACCATGTTACCCCCTCTTTAAATCTGCCACTGGCTTCTCTTTCTCCATCACATCAAATGTAAGCTGCTAGTCTTCACTCTGAAGGCCATTCACAGACCTATCCCCATGCTACCTATCATCTTTCATTTGCTATTGACATGTTGACTCCTACCTCCAAATAGCCCATGATGTCAGCCTCCATTGCCCACTTGCTAAATTTTCAAACAAGAACCTCTGTGTTCTCTCCCATGCTGTCCCTCATGAGGGAGCAGGCCCCATCAACATCTGCAAAACTACCTCATTATCATCTCTCAAATCCTTGCTTAAAAGTCGTTTGCTGTGGTGCCTACAAAAAACTTCATGATGGCTAGGGTGCTGTGACCATTGCCTAAAAAGCTGACCAATACTGTCTCATTGTGCTCTCCTATGAATCTGTCTATATCCATCAGATATCTCTTGTTTTACACTTAAGATTGTAAGCTCTTTGGGGCAGGGACAGTCTTTTTGTTCTGTGTCTGTACAATGCCTAGCACAACAGGACACCATAACTAGGGCTCCTAGGTGCTATGGTAATATAAATAGACAATGATGAATTATCAGGGCCTGAAAACTTTGCCTGACGCCAACTAGCCTGGGTTGAAAAATACCTGTGCTATCACCACTCCTCCCAAACCAACTCTCTTAGAATTTAAAGGAACAAAACTCTTTGTGTACTTTTTATTCTGTATTGTATTTCATGTTAATCAACTATTTAATAAATGATTTTAAACGTAACTTAACATATTTGTATCTAGCTTTTAGTATTCTTTTCCTGGTTTCACTCCACTTTTTACATATTTTCCTATAATTACAATGTATCCTTTTCTGTATTGTTTTTATTGCCTGTTGCTCTTTTCCTTCTTTCTCCATCCCATTCTTTCTTTCCCCTACATCATGTGCTCTACCTCTTCCCACATATTTAGGGTCTCATTTCTTCCTAAAAAAATTTTCTGTCTCTTCATCCCCTTGTCCTACCTAGCCCACCCTGATCTAGTCACCTGCTGATACATAAGGGTGGGAGAAAACAAGCAAACGCACAACCCCAATAGCTGGAGAATTAAATGTCCAGAGAAACACCCAAGTGAAGAAGACAAGCTTGCCTCCCAAAGCTGCCAGGAAAGGGAAGTTTCCTGGGATTCCTAACAGGGTGTGCTTTCCCTGGTTGGCATGGGGATTTACTTTTTTGTAGGCCTCTGACTAATATATCTGATTAGTTTGAAACTCCCCATCGCACAATCTCCTCTGCCTGGAGAAAAAGAGGATTGTTCCTTTTCATTCCAACAATCATTTAACCCTCCTGCTTGTTGTATGGGTGGGGCTCCTTCTATTAATCTATTTCTCCCCCAGCCTCTGATTTTGAATGCTTTTCCCCCAGTGAAATACTTCAACATATACTTCTGCTGCAGCATATAGCTTTCCCAAGCAGCACAGTAATGAGAAAAGTGTGTGGATTTGTGGAAGCAACATGCATGCAGAGGTCTTCAGTTATACTACCTATCTCCCACATGAAGTTGTCTTCTCAGATCCATAACGTTCGTAATTAACCAGCAGTAGCAATTCACCCTAAATATCAGGAGATGCTCTCTGATCGACTACCTTAATCTTTTCAGGAAGCTGGAGTCGACCGGAGAGTGCTCTGACATCGATTTAGCAGGTCTTCACTAGACCCGCTAAATCGACACCCAGTGCATTGATTGCAGCAGCGTCAGTCTCCCCAGTAGTGAAGACAAGCCCTAAATAAGCACTCCCACTGGGTCAGCTGTATCAGTGGTAGTACAAAAGCGAGAGACTTTTCCAAAGGCGTTTAGTATAGAAAAGACACAGGGCAATGAGTGTAGGTGTAGCTGAACCAGTGTTGAACATGGTTTAACTGCAAGAGTGGACAGGACCAAACAGTGCTCAGCATATTTTCAGAGTCAGTAGTTCTGAAGGCTCAACCACGTGGAAAGTACTTTCATATATGTGAAATAATCTGTCTTTCTATCTGCCCCCAAAGGTGTGTCAGAATCCTTTGAAAACTTGAAGAGACAATACCATCCCTTACAAACTAAGTTAGGCAAGCAAACATGGGAGAAACAAGACAGCAGGAATAGGGTGGGAATACACCGGTGTCATTAATAAGATTATATGGTTAATCACTGAGGATTAGTGCTTGCTCTGATGTAATAAGGAGGGTGGATGTGTTTTTTTGTACATGGATGTCCTAGCTGGTTAGTTACATGGCAGAAGTGGGTCCTAGGGAGGAACTTGAAAGAGAAGGAGGGGAACATTACAGATGAACAACAAGTACATGAAAGAAAACAGAGATATATGTGGGAGAAGGGCATGAATGGGGCATTGAAGTTGGCATTGCTGAGGGAGCAGAACAGAAAGGATAATAAGAAAGGAGAAAAGGTAAGGTAACTGGGGTTATAGACACCTGGAAGGGGCAGACATGAAGTTGAAACTTAAAAAAGTGGAGAAGGGAGACTCTTCCAAATGTTTCCAAGAGGGGAAGGGTATGTAGTTAGATTGACAGGCAAGAAATAGAATTTTGACAGCATCATTTGAATGGACTGAAGTGGGTGATGTGTGTATCAAAGAGGCTGTAGAGGAGCAGGCTACCATAATTAAAGTATGATATGAGGAAGGCATGCACAAGAGTTTTTGCAGGATCTGGACAGACAGAATAAATGGTCAGATTTTGGCAACGGAGGAAAAGATGGCAGTATCTGGACTCCACTTTTATACATGGGAGAGGGAAAATTATGGTATGGTAAAAATCCCTAAATTTAGGTTGTTTAACACTTTCCATTATAAAGTGAGAGCTTTGATAGTCAACAACAAGGAGGCATGGGAGATGGGGGAGACGAAGAGATCTGGAGTTGGTCTCCCCTCCCCCTGAAATGGCCCCAGTGGCCAACGCTCACTTCTGGGACAACCACATGAAGCTGGGATGCTTCCCTACCCCTGGAAACAGCCCCAGTCAAGACCGTAAAGCCCATTCCCTCTGTGCCCACTCTCTGGGGGAAGCCCACATGGGGATGGAGCTTTCCCAACTCCCAAGTGGGGTGGATGGGCAGGAAGAAAGAACAGGACCAGGCTCGCTTCTCCCCTCAACTACCTCCCAATCCAAACAGTCTATCCTCCCTCTGGGATAACAGCCATCTCCTGTTGCCAACTAACATAGTGAGCCCCATAGCTCCAGTGACAGCAGTCTGTGCTGCAATCCTGAAGGTTTAGGATTCAAAACCTGCTTATGATGCATTTTGATGGGAGAGAGGGGTTGTTACAGATGCTCATAACTGAATCTTTTATCTTTTTTCTTTTAAAAAAACATAGGAAATGACATACAAAAAGACTACATTAAAAGAACATTATTTAGGTTGCAAAGTCAAACACTCAAAATTTAGGAAATGCCAGATTTACAATTGCCTGTGTAACCATAATGCTGCCCAACTTGTGCAAGAGGGAAGAATTAAGGTAGGACTGGAACTTTTTAATCTACCATCTTCTAACTTTGCAACACAAATGCTCTTTTTATGTAGTTTTTTGTATGTATGCTAGCATATTACATGTGGGATAAATGCAATACCATAACTTAAAGTAATTTTCAATGCTACTTCATTGCCACTGGAAAAACAGTTTACTCTAGCTAAGACTACTTTTCTTTTGAGTGAACCTATTTGGGCTCATTGTGGCACATTAATGGGATCAACCAACGCATATTTAGAAGCAAGTGGAAAAGGCAGAAATAGATGAACCCTAACTAACATGGTCAGTGAAGGCCCAAAAATTGTATGGCAGGCATTGTTTCTTTTTAAACAGAATATTGCTGATTTTTAAACTTCATTATCCATAGTGCAATTAAATTCCTGTCCTCTTAACATTGGTCTTACACAGAACACAAGAATCTAGTCAGGCATTCATAAGCTAGAAGAAATGCTAAATAAAATAAATTCTATGCTTAAAACTGTTTAACCAAATTAAGCTAATATTGCACATAGTATATGGCGACAGTAAGAAAAAGCAAATACATTTTGGTAAGATTCTTACCTGTTATTTAGTGTTGTTGGCAGAGGATGTGTTACATTAGGTGGCACAGCTGCATGAGTGAGAGAAGGATTCTGGGATATTGTGGCAGGGGTCTGAATCACCCCATTTAAAGCCCCTACAATTCCATTGATTGCCAGCTGGTTACCTGGCAATGCTCCAATTATTCCACCCACACCAGGCACTGCAGGAATGGTGGATGTTACAGTCTGCATACCACTAGCTAGTGCCCCCACTGTCACACCATTGACCTGTTGAACTCCTGAGCCTGGCTGAGCGGGACTCTGCCCAGCAGGTGGTGGAGTGGAAAGAACTGATGAACTGCTGGTACTTTGTCCACTGGAGGTTATCTCCTAATGTAAAAAACAAACCAACAAAAACCTTCAGCTGTATAGAATTTCAAACAGAACAGAACAGCACAAGGATTTTGAGATGAAGTTAATTTATAACAAGGTTAGAAAAACAAAAATAAAAAACAAAACAAAATTACCTGGTTTAATACAGGGAGAGAATTGTCAGGTAAAAAACCGTTTCCCAGATGAGGGCTTTTACTGCTGTTCAAGGAATCAGTGCTATGTGCTAAAGTGATGATTTAAAAAATAAAGTGAAGTTTAATTTTTGCATTTAACGTTTAAAATATTAAAATATTCAGAATAATTTATTTCAGCAGAATGTTGATGTTAAACACAGAATACACAAAACTTGAACATAAACTTCATTTCTTATAATCACAACCCCAAAGGAAAATATTAGCTTAACTGACTATTGAAAGGTGATGGATGGGTTCAAGACTGAATAGTAAAAAAGAAAATGCCTGGACATAAGTAGCAATGATTTGTATAAGTCTCATGCTTCTTTAAACACATTAAAACAAGGGGAAATTTTTCTCTTGTGAAAATTTTTCAAATCTTTTACTTTTTATTGTTTTTTTTTTTTGTAAAAGACAAGTATGCACAAAGTAGCTCGTTCAGGGAAAGCTTATATCTAAAAAATTCCCAAATCCACTATAAACTTGGCATTCTTTTCTCTAACAAAAATATTGTCAGTGATTAATTATACGCACCAGACAGATCATTTTTAAAAAAAACCCACTAATTATACTGGATCTGTTCTCTTTGTACACACACATATCTCCCATTCATGGCAAATAGGTGTAAAATAGGCCTTTTACATAAAGAGTCTTCAGGTTACTTTGATAAGAGTACTATGCAAAATGTGGGAAACATTTTTCTCTACTTACCAGCTTGTGCTGGAAATGCATGTACTTGATGAGATGGGCTAGGGTTTGAAGTTATTGTTGGAAAGGGAACTGAAAGCTGTGCATTTAATAGCTGGAGGCGCTCCTTTTTAGCAGTCAGGTTCTTAATCTGTTCCTCTAACCGTCGATTTTCAACTTGAAGTTGGTGTAATGACTTCAGCATTCCCAGAACTAGAAAACAATTGACTAATAAATCTGATCTCTTTTAAAGTCACATTCAAAGTTTTTTCTTTATGAAGAATATCTCAGGATTGCACAATGTAATGTGCTAGAATTTTAAATACTGTATAAATCCTTAGCATCCCTAGTTACATACTGCGGATTAATATTGCCAATTAAGATAGCACTTAGAGTGAAAATCCACCCCAAATAATTAATAATGTATTAAAATAAAAAAAAAAATGCTAAAATTTCTCCTTTGAAGTCAGATGTATGCAATTGTGGATCCATGTGGATGGACCCTTACTTCCATGCAGAGACAGTTGCACCATCTGAGTCTTTGTTGATTTTGAGCAAGTTTCAGAACAATGTGCTTTTTCTGTAAACATAGCCATAACAAAAAAATAAAGAAATAAAAACAAGATTCCTTTAATGACATGCAGGTAACAGAGCAGTTGTGGAATGCCTATTCTATTTGGCTTATGAAGTTTAAAATACAACTAAAAACTCTAAGAGCAGATCAAAGATCTGAAATATATGCATAATATTTATGTAGTCAACTATTATTGTTTTTTAAAAAACCCAAAGGAAAAGTATGTGCAAAAGGAACTGTTGAATTCTTTGTCAAATAAATTGCAAATTTATGTGATCAATGAAAACCCTTTATTCGGGTTTATGGGTTTTTGGGGGTTTTTTTGTTTTCATTATGCTTTTGAATCACCATAAACCTTGCTGGATGCCAAACCTTCCAGCTGCTTTCAGTGTCAATCTACAGATCACCCAGCAGGGAGCACTACATGAGCATTGCAGTTACCACCCTTTCTTTGCAGATAAAGCGCATCATCATCTGAACAGGCACAGCTTCTACCATTTCCTCAAATTCTGATTTTGTTCCAGAACATGGATGACCCAACTAGGGCTACAGAGTAGCTGTTATGCCACAGGGATAGCCAGTCACTTTTTAAATACCAAATTGTATTTGTTTAACATGACCTCTGGGCCTACGACAGACACAAGTCTACTGGTATGGGCACATCTGGTCATTTCCCAAGGATTTAGCTTTTTATCCCTCCTCTTCAAGAACATACAAAGGAACCCTCAGAGCGCCCAAATGAGATGCAATAAGACTTAGCTAAACCTGTCCTCCAGCTATCATGTTTAAAGGATTATCCCCGCATGAATTTCCTCACAATTAGCATTTTTGTCAGGGTACCATTCATAAAAGTACCAACTAGATGGCACTTTACTCACTACCAACAACCAGAATAGCATGTTCAATAACATATACACACACAAAAAGTGACAAAATAATGATTTTATATCTTGTCTAAAACTATTCAATCAATTTTTATTTATATTGATTTCTCATTGATTATGAATAAATCCAAAGCAATGTTATTTCCTCAGTTAAGCTTTATTTGTATTCACTTTTCAGTTATTTCATTTTGGTAAACACAACTCTTGAAAAATAAATAACTCAGTACAAGAATGGCATGAAAAATGGAGAACATAAACAAAATACAAAAGCACTGTAGGACACCTGCATAACACTTGTGAAAAACAATGGAGTTTCTCACAACTGAAGCCGGTAGTTTATACTAAAAATACCAAAAATAAAGCTCTAAAGAAACATTTCAAAATATCAGCATCACATAAAATAAAGCACAATTGAGGAACCAAGCCTTAATGATAATCAGTATAAAACAGAAGTTATAAACTATGCAGCATAAAATGGTGAACAGGTTGTTTAAAAAGACTTAGGCATTCACTGGGTGATAATTATTTATAACACTGCCCAACAAACAAAAAAGCCCAGTAATAACAGAAAACATGAATACTTACTGTCACTAGGGGTGCCCTGTTCTAGCAAAAATTGCTGTCCTTCACTCCACTGCCTCTCCAAAAGCTGTTCAATGCTGGCAGCTACCGGGGGCAAATTTTCCACACTGCTGTTCACTGACTGATCATAGCGAATCTGTAAGCTGCTTACAGGAGATCTGTTGAAAACATTGTAATTTACACATTTAAAGGAAGGAGGGAAATGTATTTAGCAAAGGGCCCATAAAGTTTCTTACCTTGTGCTAGCCCCTAGCACTTACATAATCCAGAGCTTCCAACATTAAGCTTCTCAAAGCCACTAGGAACTCTGAGCTCTCATCACCCAGGTTTTAACAGAAAACAGCAGTTTGGGAATTTGTGTACAGAAAACAGATGCATTAGTTTAGCTGCACTAGAAGTTTATGTCTAACAGATATTATTGAACTCAAAGAGCACATATTGCTGGAGCAGGAAATAGGTGCTCAGTATAGTAATAAATTATATATAAATCAAATATCTAAAAACATCTAAACAATGGTGAAATACAAAATATGAAGCCTGATTAAAATCATTACAATTATGACATTCTCCCATAGTACATAGGTCACATGTAATTTTCATGTGTGATTTGTGCCAAAAACCCATGTAAAGAGAAATTTTTGAATAGAGAGTGATTGAGTGGAAAAAACGGTTACTAACATTTCCATAATTGTTGTTCTTCAAGAAATGTTGCACATGTCCATTCCAATGTAGGTGTGTGCGTACCCTGAGCACAGATGCCAGAATTTTTTCTCCCTAGTGGTATCCGTCAGGACAGCTCCAGAGTCCCCTGGTGCCACATGCTCACAGTGCCAGTATAAATGGCCCCATTGACCCTGCTCCCCCTTCAGTTTCTTCTGACCAACTGTCTCTGATTAGTGGGGACAGAGCGTGGGTTTTGGAATGGACATGTGCAACACAGCTCGAAGTACAACAGTTACAAAAAAATTAGTAACCATTTTTTCTTCTTCGGGTGCTTGCACCAAGGCAGGTCTTAAGGTTGCCTCCATGAGGATCACCTTTAGTCTTGCCACTCAGTTCTTTTTGTTTCAGGATCTGAGGTCCCTGCAAATTTGGCAGCAGTATTTCTTACGAGATTCCCCAAGGCACTTAAGACAGCTTGAGTGCAGGTCACTCAAAGGCACAGTCTTACTACCAGAGGCCCAGGGCTTGAAACCAAGCCACTGAGGCATGCCCCGGCACCAGGGAAGCAGATGACCCCATTAGCTAAGCATGGAGGCATCCGGAACTAAGTACTAAAAACCACTAAAATGATTAAATTCCTACCATGCTGTAATAACTATTTACACTAACAACTGCAGAAAAATCACTAGGAGAAGGATTGCCTGAGCAAAGTGGTCCCGACGGATACCACTGATGGGAAAAAATTCTGGCAACTGCTCAGGGTGTGCACACCCCTACACTGGAATGGACATGTGCAAGCACTTGAAGTAGTAATATTATTTCATAAAAAAACCTTAAAAACATTAGAGTTGCATTCAAAAATCAAAAAATAAAGTTAAAATTTCAGAGGGGTAGCCGTTTTAGTCTGTATCCACAAAAAGGTGCCACCGGACTCCTCGGAGTCTTGAAGGTGCCAAGTTAAAGTTGCCTATACAACCGTAACTCTGCCACCTTTGTGCATATGCATTCATATACCATCTTAATACATAATCATACCCTAGTCTTTCCACTGGACCCATCTCATTCAGAATGAATTTCACCGCTCTGAAGAAAGCCAGTACAAGGTCTATGTACCCATTAATCCCTTTTTGTGGCTTCACCTGCAGTCTACAAGGTGGACCGTACTCAGTGAACAGAACAGCTGCTCAATATTTCTTCTTATCTTCATTTTTCCCTATTTGGCCCTGTGCCTCATTCAAAGCCAGATCCAAAGCCAACTGAAGTTAAGAAGCATCTTTCCACTGCCTCCAATGGGCTCTGGATCAGGCGCTCAGTATATTCTCTGTATTTTGCAGTTGTAGAACTAAAGCAAAGAGATTAAACAACTTGCCCAAGATCACACAGGAAGTCTGTAGCAAAGTCAAGAACAGAATCTAAATAGGCTGTACTCCAGTCCACTGCCTTAGCTATGAAGCGATCTCTTCCAGTGCCCCCTTGTTTTATTCACTACAAGAGAACAAGTCACGGGTCCTGATTAAAAAATAGCATTTGATGCTATAATAAAGGATTATATTGTAATGCATATTGTGAAGTGACTTTTTGTATAGAATTTCCTAATTAAAATAAAAAAAAACCCAAGAAATTCCACCATGTTCAACTATTTGCTAGACAGAATTAGAACGCTCTGTATAGTGTGTTATATATGCAATGAAACAGAAGCCCTTGCCTCATTTCAGGCATACGTTTTTGTACCATGTGGCCTTCAATATTTACCTCCTACTTATTGCAGAGTCAGCATGTAACTGTGTAAATTCTCAGCCTATTATATTAAAATATTGATTTGCATTTATATAGGGATGTACATACATATTTAAAAACAGGTATTATATACTGTATGTTATTTTGAATGTTTGTTGGTATATTAGTTAAATAATATTTGAGGCATGCTTGGGAAAAGAAGCGCTTCCCATTCGAAACTGAAATCATTTATATACACACTATACACACCAACAGTTATATTATACTGTAAGTATGGGTGTATATATGTGTGTGAGATTATCTATCTAATACAATTGTTGTAGAGTGGTATAGAAGTTTTATTAGCATGAGCTGGAATGGCTGCACAATTCACAAGTGAGTTATGTAGGTCATATCAAATGATTGCCAATAAGATCTTCAAACCACTCCACTTTAGTATACTATATATGAAATAAAGAATATTTCTGAGTGTTAGGTCTATTTTTTCTTTCCTACTACCTGTAAGTAGGTGGTATAGTTACAATAAGCCCAACTGTACAGGGTTCAGAAAGAAAAAAAATAAAACTAATAAATGTAAAAAAAACCCACCCCAAAACAACCCTGTAAATGACTCTTAAAATAGCTTGTCTAACACATAAAAGTCCCACAACTTTAACTTCTGATGTTCCAAGACTTTCAGGCCTAATTATTGTCTGTCCTACATATAAGACTAGTGTAATTTGGGAGGGTGGAGGGGCAGGGGGAATTTCCATATTTCAAAGAATGAAGCAAACATTTGTGTCTCTCTTCTTTTTTTAATGGCAAATGTATGAAGTTACTCAGATCTGAACATTACAAGAGAGATACAGAGATGGATTAGTGGGCAGAGGTTATATTAGGCAGTCAAAGGTGCAAGGTACGTGTGACGCTGTCTGGAATATGGTGACCATTTATAATATTATTGATACCAGTATTACAAAGAATCTTACAAGATATGCCATGTAAGGTATCAGTGGAAAAATTATGATTGACTAAATATGATAATCATGTTCATATGTATGTATCATCTTTGTATTGAGAGTTATAAATGTGTGTGGTATGTTTGTATTTCAAACTTGTGCTGTGCGTCTGGGTAATTCCCCCAGGCAGATTGGCATCAAGCACTATCCAGCCTGCTTGATGGCTTATCAAAGCCAATCAGCTATACAATGAACCCATTGAGAGAAGCCAGGGACTTCACCTATGAGTCAGCAGGACAAGTAGGGACATGCTGGTGGACAGGGGACTCCCATGTGCTGTAAGTTTGTGTTTGGGACAAAGGAAGTACAAGTCACATGGCAATGGATATAAAAAGCCAGCTGCATTTTGTCTTCAAACCTGCTTCTCACCTCTGGAGCAACTTCTCTACAAACTGAAGCATTGAACAAAGGACTGACAGACCCCATCCATGCTTTGGGCGTGTTCCAGAGGGACTCTACAAACCAGCAAACTCACCAATGCTGCTAAGAACCTGATGTATGGACTCTGAAGTCTTATATAGTAACTCATTGTTCTGACCATTTAACAACTCACTTCTTGTTCTTTTCTTTTCTAATAAACCTTTGGTTTTAGATACTAAACAATTGGCTGGCAGCATGGTATTTTAGGTAAGACCCAAACTAGCATTGATCTGATAATGTGGCTGGCTCTTTCGGGATCAGAAGGACATTTTGTATAGTGAGCAGAGTTTTTAAATAACTTCTCATTTTACTGGACCTATGTGCTAACTGGGAACCAGAGAACTGGAATGAAATAGAGGGGGCTGAGAGATTTCTTTTTTCAGCTTCTTGATAACCAGTGTGGGGGATCAGGAGCACAGTCTGTGACTGGTTGGTGAATCTAACTTCAGCGTTAACCTCCAGTTTGGGGAGAATATGGTCTCCTTTTTGAAGCCTGCCCTGACCTTGGCATTTTCAGTCTGGGCTACCCTAGGCACCACAGGTCACAGTATGGTCTTTTTTTATATTGTAGACAGGGCTGGTGGCACTGCCTATCATTAATGCTGCCTGACACTTCCTTTTATAAGACTCAGTTTTCAAGTGCTTATAACGTTGCCAAACTTTGATTTCAGGGTGTCTGCCTCAGGCTAATTTTTTTTTAATAAAATTTCAGTCAAAATGATTCAGCCATTTACAAGAATGAGGCTAGAGAAAAATACATTGTTTTGCCCATGTTAAAGAATTCTAGTAATCTATTCCTTGAACAGCTCTAGTGTCCCCATGGTTTGGACCCACCAGTATATAACATATACATTAAATTATAATCTAATATAGCTTTGTTAATTACAGACTTCTACAATGATCTCAGACTGTAATAATAAAATACAGTGTTACAATACTATAATATAGTAACGAAATTCTTTGGAGGCCTATTGTCAGAGTTACCAGATGGCCAGCTGAGGCAGGAGCAAAGGCAGGCTGGAGAAAAGGCAGGCTAGCGTGGAAACAGGTAAGGCTAAGCAGGACCAAGAGCAAAGGCAGTCTGTTGAAATTACTGGTAATTGGAGTGTTCCTGGCCAGAGTAGTGTTGTTGAGCAGACTGGAAAGATTGCTTTCCTTAGGAGCTTATGTATGTGCCTAGGGATCACCTCTTGTGTCCTCGCCTGTGGATAGGCTAAACCTATGACGACTATCACAAGACCTGCAGGTGATTACCCCTGATGACTTATCACACACACTTTGGACTCAGAGATGATACATCAGGCTTAAGTAGACTTGGGCTCAGAGGTACCTGAGGCTCAGGCAGGCCCAGAGGTATCACACCTATTGAGCAATCCTGATGCTAATGCCCAAGCAAGGCATAAAACAGCATCCTTAAAATACCCTACTTCAAATAGGCCACATATGCAAAATAATCACTCTTAAAAAATAACCATTATCACCAAATAGCACTCTTATTTCACTCAAAGCACTTAAAAACCTCCAGACTATTTGAATGTTTTTCCTTAAAATTATAATTTAAAAATCAATGGCAACAATTATAAGTATGTTAGAGTGAAAGAATTCTATAAAGAAGATTCTATTGTCAAATTTCAATAGTGGAGATCAAGTGCACTGTCTCTAGAGCAAGAAAACACAATATCTGGATATAGTAATGTTCTCTATGTTTCACCTCCAGTATTGTAATCTGATGATATATGGGAATTTTTGGACATTTTAAAAAAAGAATTATAGTAACAAAAATAGGTATAGAGTGGAGCTAATACTACATGTAGATAGAAAATTATAAGCAGGTCCCTTTAAGGAGATCTCGATTATCTCAGTAACCCTAGGTAAAGAGCTCATTTATCTTGCAAATCTAATCATGTGAGTTTTAGTTAATATTCGAGTAAATTTGGCACCATTTTCCTAACTTCCTGGACATGTACATTGTCTGCATAATTCTTTAGAATCTTAGCAAATATATGCACTGTCGATAAAACATAAATAAGTTTCCAAATCTTAAAGTGTTTCCTTTGCCTGTACTCTCCAATGTAAATAACGCTTACCGTGGTGAGAGACTTCCTCTGGGTGAACCTCCCCTGCCAACAAGGCTGCGAGTATTATCTCCAAGATCTTGACCTGTAATGTAAATATTTCACAGCTGATAAAGTTACTCTTATTAGATAAGAGTTTTAAAGCTGCTGTATTTTTAAAATATATTAAACCTTAACCACTACCTGCAGTTACTACTAATGTGTAGATAGTTGAAGACTGCTGAACTGTAGCATGTAAGGCGTTGTCCTTACACATTTCTGTGGGTGTACCAGGCCATGGATTATGTTCAGTTCTTTCATTCCTTTCTGTTTTACAGCACAGAAGCGTGGTTTGCATTTGCAGTACCCTCCCCTCAGCCACTTTTAATTTCTACGGTGAAAGTAATGAATCACAGCTGTGGACAGCTAATCTGTATGCTTATCACAGCAAATCCTGATGCTTTCTTTTTTTTAACACTTTTCATCCCAAGACAACTCATAAAACATAAAATGCATAAAACCTACCACCGTCTAACAATTATATATTGGTTTAAAGATTTACTGAACATTTTATTGAAGTGCTTACTTTATAAAATTGCTACTGTTTATAAGCAAGAACATAGGAAAGACTTTTGCTACAATGTATTAAAACAAACAAACAAAAACCCTCATTAAATAAATATAAAGACATGTTTTGCTTGGAAGGACTCAAAAAGGTTATTTTCCCTATGGCCTCTCAGTAAAATAACCCTATCTGCCCCCTTCAAGGCTTCCCTCCCCCTTTTCTGAGTCAAATGACCTATGACCTCTTAGAGGGCAAAGACATGACTGATCCATTCTTGGTAAACTGCTAAACTCATTCCCTTCCCCCAAACAGGCATGACTACTATGACATGTCAACAAATCCTTAAAGATGGAATGAAACAAAGCAAATCCAGTAGCTCATTAAAACTGGTCTCTTCTGCGATGTTACAAAATGTCAATTGGTAAATATTCACAGGATTATTAAACAGTGTAGAAGTTCTCTAACAGGATCTTTCTGCCACACAAAGTTGTGTGCGATGCAATTTCATGAATTATGCAAATAAAGGTTTAAACTATTCAAGACAAAACCCAGTGCTGTTACTTTCTTTGCAAAGAACTAAGAGAACTGAACCCATCAATCACAAAAGTCACAGGAGACATTGTTGCATTCCTGCCTGCTGATGGCTCTGCTTAAACATTTACATTTCAGACAGTAAAAAATGCATAGCTATTTTGCAGTACAACAAAGAATTTACTTCCAACATGAAAGAACCATATACAGTCATTTAGGAACCAAATCCCCAACCAAGAGTTCACAAATAAAATTAGTGGTCATATTTTAAATAGTTAAAATCAGGAAAGCAGATGCTTTGAACAGTTCTAGCAAGCTTACCTGCTTGACTGTTTTCAGACTGAGCTATAAGTGCTGCCATTGCTGAATTAGGATTCAGCCTATTGCCATACATGTGGGATGGAGGCAAACCGAGGGAAGATCCAGGTAGGGTGTTTGCCTGTAAGACAACAATTAAAACTACAATCTTTAAAAAGTCTGGGAGAAAAATTCTTAATTTATTTTAAGGACACTTCCTCGTGAATTAAAATTAATTACTAGTATGTAAAATACTTAAAAGTTAATTAATATTTAAAAAGTAATTAATGATTTTCAATCAAGATTTGGAAATAAGGAAATATAATCGCAATACTTTCTGAATGTATTAAAGTGTAAATTGCTATTTTTCTGGTACATACATTAAACAAAAAGCTTCTATAAAAATTAAAAAAATGTTAGCATATGAATTGTTAGAAATTTTTGAATTGTAACTTTTAAATGATTGGCATACAACAAGTAGGATGTGTAGACTTGCTTACAATTCCTAAGTATGCAGCCAATGCCAGGACTTAGTGGCATGGTGACCATGCGGTTATCCTACTAATTATTTAATCTTATTAAACCATTTACAAAATAAGGGCAGGTAGACAACAGATGTCTCACAAATGCTTGGGTTCCTTACATCACAAGACGGCTGTGGAGGTCAAAAGGTCCACCTTCCAGCTCTATAGTTTAACTACACAGAGCCATATTTCCTTTGCTTTACTCTGTCATTAGTAAAACCTGCACACTATTTTGTTACTTCCTATTTTGATAGGCTTGGAAACCTGGTGTTTTTTTGTTTTGTTTTGTTTTTATTTTAAAGAAAGCAAACAGCCATTATAAGTATGTTTTCTATACAATACGGGGCTCAACGAATCACAGTTTTGCCCTGACCCCATATAAGGAACTGTATTTTTGGCAGCTGGCCAGCTCTACTTACTGAAGAGCTTGTCAAAAGTTTGTATTCATTCATGTTGCTAACCACAATTCTGAAGGTCTTTGCTGGGACTTGTGCCAAACAAGCGAAAATGAACCCTTAAACAGATGAAGCTAAGGAGGCTGGCCAAAAACTTGCATAATCCAATGCAATAAAAATACCTTCCTCCCTTGGCTGTTTATACTTTCTCCCTTTCGAAGAACAGATCTGCCTTAAAACTGAGTTTAGGAAGCATACGATCACAAACAAAAATAATACTGCCGGTGCTAATAGAAGATATTTACATTAGCCTGAAAGAACACACTTTTTTCCAGAATAAAAAATAGATTTTAAGTCTACGCTCTGGTGTTTACAGAAAAACAGATGCACAACCTGTGAGATTACATTAACAATAATCTTAGCATGAACCTGAATACGCAAATAAGCTTTTCAGAAGAAATGAAATGCTTATTTTTTTGAGATGTAAAAAAGAAGGTGAACAGCAGGGAAGTCAAGTTGCAGGACATTTTGACATATATAACTGCACACAAGAGACAAGAGACACATACTGGTTATTACAAGAAAAATATTACACAGTGTAAACTATGTCTCTGGAAAGAATCATACACTGCCATTAAGGTTTGGCTTTTAGCCAACGTATTAAACTTGATGAATGGACTTTTACAAATTCACACAACTGTTTCCAATGATGCTGTATTTACTATATACTGGTGAGAAATCATGGCCAGTACTTGTATTCAAGTTTTTCTGTTGTTGAGTATACTGTTAGAATAAACAAACATAAAATGTAGGAACAAGAAATTCTGTAAGACAATTGTCATTTTAATAGATTTTTTTTTATAAGAACATAAATCACAAACGCTCACAGGTTCACCAAGTATGGGGAATCTGGCCCTTATTTCAAGGTTTGTAGAATATTTCCATTAGAATAAATCTGAAAAAGTTATAAGCCGTTTAAAATACTGTAAGTCTTTTCATTTACCTGTTTATGTGAATATGTCCCTGAAATGTAGTACATTAATTTCCACTAAGTTCAGTGACACTTACTGATGGAGGCAGGCAGCACTGAACCATTCCAGCTGTTTTCCTCAATAAACACCTATAGCATGACTCCAAATCGACTAGCATTATTTGTTAGTAACCATTCATTTTTCCTCTCATGCAAATAATAAGAATTACAAATTTCCGGTAAACACTTTCTCTGAAGCAAACGTTAATAAACAGAAAATTAAGCAAAGGTATTATCTGCGCCTATACTTAAAAAAGACAAGACCAACAAGGTAAAACGCTGTATATTCCAAATTTAAGTTTAATTGAGGCAGTTATAAATTATATTAGTGGATTTCTACCCTTTAATCAATGTGAATTATGTTTTATTAGTTTTTAATTTTTGAAAGTTCAAAGTGCTAGCATTTCAGGAGAGTGAGATTTTTAAAAAAATCAAGTCAAAAAGGTACACTACTCACTTCTGCTGCAGAGATTGGATTTCCGCCCCCATTATTCTCATTCTATTTAATTCACAGCAAGGTTAATAAAACTAAAGTAAAGTAGTATGTATAAGATTACAAATAAATGTATAATAGTGGCAGAATTGCCATAATCGGCAAAAACACAACATGTTTAGTAGACTGAAATTAACAAAAAAATTCATAAGCAGAGCTAGATGAAATTAGTTAGAATGATCTACATATCTTGAAAGGAACAGCAAGTCTCGGCTGAGAAGCTATTAAAGCGCAAAACAACACACATCAAAGAAATTAAATGTTTGCTATGTGGGTTGACATACCAGATCAAAAGGGTTGGCATGATTTGAACAATATTTAAGAGTCTGAGGTTTTTCACAAGTGGTGCTTCACTACCTACATATAAATGGTTGCTTACACTTTAAAAGAATATTTTAAGACTTCCTGTGACGTAAGCTAGAACTACAGAATTCCTAGTGACATCACACATCTTATGCAACTCCTCTAGAAAAAGCTCACTTTAATAGAACTGCTCAAATAGCTGGCGGTAAAACTTAGAACTATATTTTTTTTATGAGGAGGGAAAACGTCAGGAATATGGATCTGAAAAGTATTACTATGTACGTGACGACTTCATCTGACAGGAAAGTAAGGAAGGTATTAGAGTACTGCATTATTTAAAGGTGAAATAGGAGCTTCACATTTCACTCAGTTGAAACAGGCTGTAGCAAGCATTTATTAAAAATGCGCAATCATCCTGTCAATACACATTAAGGTCACAGGATTGAAACAAGCTCTAAAATGCATCACTTTTAAAGCTGTAGCATTCTTTATTTCAGCTGATTCTCTTTAACAGCCAACTTGCAACACATGGCTGAAATGTACTTTTACAAAATTTAAATAATAAATATTTATATTTAACTAAATATTTATTTTTAATGCCCAGAAAACAAATCTTACTCAAAATGATTTCAACAGATAGATTTAAGCCTAATTAGAGATATACTGTATTTTGATTTTATTTATGGAAAATTCAATAAAGGAGCAAAGCAACACAAGATGAAGATAGTTAATACACTATAATTCAAGGAATGATTGATTATAATAAGAAAAAATGACAATTCTAATTGGCCTCTGATGTATTTCTCCTATAGTAAAAAGGAAAGTCGTATATATTTTTAATTAAGTTTGAAAATTATTTGTACAAATCAACTAAATTGAATAAGTTACACAAATACCCTGTGAAATATTTTTAAGATATCAGCAGCACTGATGTTTCTTTGGAGTAAAGTCCAAAAGTATTACTTTACATAAAAATGAACAGAATTTATGAACAATAAAGTTTCTAAAATTAGCAAAAAGTATTAGATTGTAGGACTGGAAATTAATTTAATTTTCCAGGAAAAAACAGTTTCTTGCCTAAAAAAAGTTACATGGAGCCAATGAAAGAAAATCAAAGGGAATACAAGGAACCCAATAGTTAGCTATATAAAATTTTTATCAGAAAGGTCTTGATAATCTGAGAACCCATGAGTGTGCACATTCCCCTGTTTCTTTCAAGTTTTATGCCATGAAATATTTTCTGATAACAGGCCCCATTTCTGTCTGAGCTCCACACCAGTAAGGTTTTAATACTCAGCGTGTGATGAGAGATGAAACCAAGTGTGAACAACTTTCAGGTCCCATGAGTAGGCTGACTATTGAAGCTGTCAGGTTCAATTGCATCATTCGACATTATTCAATGCCCCAAACTGCTCCCTAATTGTTAGGGGCTTAACATATTCAAAACCATTGTTTAGGCTAATGCTGAAATGCCTACAGTTGAGTTTCCATAAAGAAGGGGGAGGGATTTAATTGTAGTTAAACCATTACTGAACTCTCCTTCATTCATGATAGGACAACAAGAATGGGCTGAACAACCAATTCCAAGACTGCTTCTTAATCGCTTTATATCTAATCAATACACTTCTTCCGTTTTGATCAAAAATATAACCATTGCTAATAGTTTCGTACCACAATATTTTGGTGATTCTTTAAAGTAAATTGAAGATAATTTCATTGCCTATTTTAGCCCAGAGATATTTGTCATTAAATGAGGGATGGAATTTTTCTTTAAAATAAAAATTATTTATTCTTACTTAAGTTGCCCGTGTGCCTCAAATATGAACAGCAAAATAGTATATTTAAGGCCATAATAGTATGGTCTAATTCTGTTATTTTTTCATATATTTAATGCAAGTCTTGTGACAGAAAATACTCATAACCATGTCATGATGTCCTGTTTTATATGAATTATAGCAACCATGCTGACCAGTCAATACTAATCATGTTTCTGCAAACTTTCTAAAGGAAAAAACTCTACATAAAACCATGTTGTAGGATTTTCAAAATACACAGTAATTAAAAATAAAGTGCATATTAGTTTTGTCTTTGATTTGGAAGACATTGCAAAATTTCTGGTACAAAAAGAATATTTCCATTTCAAGTACTGTAATCTAGATTTAACAGTGGAAAAGAAAGGAATAATAGAGGCAGCAGTTTATCAAGCTTCACCCAAAACTGGTATCTTGAAATGTGTAGATGTAGACTGATACCAGTTGAAATTTGCTTTTGGGGCTACCTGCTCTTTTCCCTTTTTTAAAAGGTATGATAAAACAATGTATGTGACTGTTATAACCCTCTTGTTTTACAAATTTCAACAATAAATTTGGCACCAGATTACGATTGGCTCTCTGACAG